TATATATATATATATGGCACACTAAAAAAAAAACACATTTAACGGGGGTTGTCTAGTGGGTTTAGGTAAACCCTTGAAAACACAAACAACTACTTGGAGTTTTGAAGATTCTTGTTAAAATAAAAAATTAAAAAAAAATCATAGATAAATCATTATATTAATATTATTTTAAATTTTATTACCTTTAAATTTATAATTTTTATTTTTTTTCCCCTCTCAATTATACTTTAGCTTTCCCTCTTACGAATACATCAAAATTGCTAAAATTATTTTACCTTCTTTCCTTCTTACAAACCCATCGAAATTAATCCTGCCTTATGTATGCAACCGCGTTAAATCTTGGGGCCAGCTATCCCACCCTTTGAGGTGCCTCCAACATAGCGAGGAGATTAGTCACTGCTGTCGGCGGTGGATACTCCAGGGACGAACCAAAAAAAAAAAACCCATCGAAATTAGATTTTCCTTCTTCCAAGCTCTCTATCTGTGCCTTCTGTAACACACCTAAGTAGATACTCCACCAGCGTGTCACCTTTCTTCTTAGGGTTTTTATTGTGCTTTGAGGGAGTTTGTTTATTGTCACCTTTCTTCTGTAACCCATCAATGCTTGTTTATACTTACTACAAGGGCCCATTTGGAAGCAAACCTAAGGATTGTGCACTTTCTCTAAACTTAGTGTGCATCACACTGCACAATTTCTCAATCCATCTAAGATATTTTTCTCCACTTTCTTCCTTTTTTTGCCTCCAACACTGCACAAAGATTCATTGTGAGTTTATAAAAAAATTGGGGCATGCATGGGGAATGGGTCACTTAGGATGAATTGAAGAAATGATCACCATGGGATGCAATGCCTCAAAAGAGAAGCTTGTTTTGCAAGAAGGATAGTTGGAAAACTGCATGGGGAGGGAGAATCAAATGGAAGTTTGTTAAAAGGGGCATGGGGCTGGATGGAGACGCATGCATATTTTAAGAGAAAATTGGGAAGGTCTGGTAGTGGGTGTTTCATATATAGTGTCTGTCATTGATATTCTATTCCAATTTTATTTTCATTTACTAATAGGGTCAGTGATCAAGATTCCTTAAATCAAACCCTAGGAAGTCAAGAACACTGTAGACGTGTTCGAGGGTTAGAATTAGGATCTTGCTCATCTCGTGTCTTTGAACATACCTAGTGTTTGTATAGTGGGATATCCACATCCTCCCCTTCTTATAGAATTACAAAATGAGCTTTGTAGATTACTGCATTTACCTTTAGAATTTTAATGTTAGGTTTTAGCTCCTCTAGTTTGTTGTTTTATCTTCTTTAGATTCTAAAAAAAATATAACATTGGATGCTAACTATTTGAATAATAAGAATTTTTTTCACTGTGGATCTAATTTGAAGTCAATTTCAATAGAGTTTGTAGAATTTTATGCATCCTTTGGTGATCCTTGGACTTTATGAAACTATTTCTATAATTTAGATCTTATTGTGTATTAATTTGATTTTTGAAGAAAACTATTAAATTGCTTTATTGAAACAAGTTTGAAACAATGATCAATTGGTATATAAAATATATTTTGACGTGTGTATTTATTGTTTTCTTGTGTATATTCCTTTGGGACATGTTACTTATGTCTGTTGTGATGTATTGATTTGTCCCTGTTTTAGTTGCTAATAAAAAGTATAGTATTCGATGCCTGATTTATGTGAAGGTCTGTGTTTGTTGTTTTATGACTAGATTTTAGTGGATGCTTATTATATTTGTGCATTCATACTTGTTTGTATCATTTATGCCGACATGTATGCATGGACATATTTGAACCTGATGAAATTTGTGATTCTGAGGTCTCGTGCAAGATTTAGGATATCAAAAAATTTAGCTATGTTGCAGCAGATGTTTAACCATATATTAAGCAAGATCCTAAACATGGTCTTGATAGTAAAAGATACCAGTGTCGAATTGGAAAGCCATGTTTAATTTTAATATCTTTATTTTTATTTACCTAATTTATAAACTAAGGTCCTATGCCTTTAAATTTTCGTTAACGCAATATTTAATACCAATTGTTTTTGTAATGCCAATATTGCGTTAATGAAAATTTAAAGTCGTAGGTAAAATACTTACATTACGAAAACAATTGGTATTAAATATGACATTAGCAGGAGTTTCAAGTCGTGAGAAAAATATAAGGATTTTATAAATCACAGGTAATGATTATAGTGTTAATGGAGTTTTAAAGTTACGGTAAAATACAAGGGTGATATAAACCAAGGGTGTTACTTACGTGTTTACGGAAGTTATATAAATAGCAAGTAAACATTAGGGTTAACCTAATAGTTAGGTAGGAAGGGATTAAAGTAATTAAAAACATAAAAATTTAAGTGTGTGATCATTTTTGTAATTTTTCTAATCCTTACTAAGAAAAATATATAAATAGCAGGTAGAGACTATGGCCTTAACAAGATTTCAAAACTACAGGTGCGCTTTTCGAGGGTTGCAATGGACAATGTGTACCTTAGATCCAAGTAAGGTCTAGAACAGTTATAAAATCAAATAATTCAAAAATTACTGCATATATATTAACATCTTGTGTTACCTGATGATATATATGAACCTACTGAAATTGCTCAAGATATCCTTTTTCTAAAATCTGTTTCTTAGTTCATCTCTAATCCGATTGGATTCAAAGAATTAATAGACCTGTACCACCCAAATTGGGAATGTGTTAGGGTTATGAAATTATAATCTATAATTTGATCATCGAGATAATTCCATAATTAGAAGTATTAAATAAAGTTACATAGTCCAATGAGAAATACACTATCCAATACGGTTCTTGAAAAGAAAGTTGACATCTCGAGGGGTCCTTGGATTCCTCCTTGCAGTAATCTGGATGTGTGCACCATCAAGAAGCATGTGCTGCAATACTCTAGCTATGTTCTTAGCGTCATCAATGCCAAGATGATGACTTCCCACCAATGGTATTTGCAGTTCCTTCATCATTGTAACCATTCCTGTGGCCTGATACCCGTTATGAAGCAAAACATATAAGATCACAAATTAGGATCCATAAATTAAAGGAGGATACTCACAGTAAGATCAAGGGGCATTGTTACGTTGTTAGAAGACAATTTGGCAGAGCATGTTAAAGAACTCACCCTCCTATTATAAAAGTTCAGATAGACATCTTTGAGATTAATCCACTCCATAAAATATGGAGGAAGCTTTATCTTTGACACTTCACATTGCTGAGGGACCTTTGTTTTCAAATCCCAATTTCCACTGCAAAAGCAAAAGATTTTGATGTAAGAGAACAAATTCTGTTATTCTAGTTCTAGATATACAGAGCAGGAAACTAATGTACCACTAGAAATAAAGGAAATACGTATAAAAGGTAAACCATAAGTAATGATATTTACCATGTTACAAATGCTGCTCGATTAAGTTCCTCGCCCATCCACAATTGATGTCGCATCAACCAAGTTCCAAATTGTTGAATAACTTCCGTAAATGGTATGGCTGTGTCATGCCAAACTCTTGAAGAAAAAAAAAAAATTAATAAGTAGCATGGTTATATTGGGTGGCACTTTAGGTGACAGAAGCAGGTACCAATCCCTTGGTAACTGCTACAATAAAATGATTCCAGTGCACCAGCTATTTATATCATTAGTCTAACTCATTATTCATCAGTTATCAGACATATCAAGTCATAGTAGACACTATCTCTACAAATGTGTACTAGAGGCAACCTTAAAAAAATACAAATATTACTATTAAATCACTACATGAAGAAAGGGAATTCGAGGAGAGGAGTTTTTAATTGCTGGTTAGATTGCTTCTGATGCTAAAAATGGAAATGAAAACAGAAAAGATTGTATATGGATCACAAGTATAAAACGAACTAGATTAATAAGCAAATTAAGTTGCATACCTGTGAACTCCAAATTTTCCATACTTCCCTTGAATGTATTCGTTTATTTTTCGTTCACTCATTTTTGAGGGCTTCACAAACCTGTTAAACAGGAAAAGGATTGCCAAAGTAAAATTGTAAGATAAGCAAAAACTGATGATCTTCATAAGTAAATTATATTTTATAAAGAAAATAACCTAAGAAATCAAAAAATATTAATCTCAAATAAGTTGCATGACAAGGGTCCAAAACTCAAGAATCTACTATTCCATTCTATTATAAAAAATAAAAATCTAACATCCATATTGTAGTAAAGCCACCTTAATTGCATTCATCTCGAACCAACCTTAGTTGTGACCCCTTTGTGGGCTGCCTTAATTGCAGCCTCAAGGGTACTGACTTGGTTCCAGTTAAATATAACCTATAAAACTTGAGTAGACTTTACCTTACAAACCAGTTTTATACAATTAATTTGGCCCTGAACCCAAATTCTAAGATAGTATTAGAGTTTATCCTAGATCATTTGTTGGGCCATCTACATTTGTCACGCTCCAAGCTGGTAGCCCCGGGCATGATGGAGAGTATTGAAATGTTGCCTTAATTGCTGTCACCCTAGCCCACCTTAGTTATAAATTGTTCGTGGGATGACTTAATTGCAAACTCAAGCACGTTATCCTAGAAACATTCTTTCCATTTAAAACTTTATTTCTAGAACTATAAAAAAAAAAAAAAAAAAAAGTAAAACAGTATCATCAAAAGAAAAACAGGAATATCACAGGCAATCAGTGAACACTGCACCTGTTAGATATGCTATAAAGTGGCAGATCAAAACCTGTGGAAAATGTCTTCAACTTGCAATGTTTTTGCACTAATCATTAGAACTGGAAACTCAAGAATCTCAACCCTACCCTCTAAATCAAGCACAAGGAAAAAGTCCAGATCCTGAGGGTGTATTTTGTTCAACTCAGCAATGTTCACTTGAAGCTCATTGGAGCAATCATGATTAAACGTCTCCAGGTGGATAGGATCATCCATCTGCAAATTTGGAAAGCAGAAACAACAAAATACAAATATTACATTCACAAACAAAATTATCAATATACAACAAAGACACCATTTTCCAGTTGGTAAATAGCTAATCATATTTTCCTGACACACAAGCCAATCAATTACCTGACATCTAATAATATTCTTGCATACTAAATAAAAATCAAGGGCTAGGTTCCCTGAGTCAGTAAATCATCTATCCTGGTGCCATGTCATCGTTATAGAACTCATTAGAGGAAACATGACAACCTAATGAAGCTAATTCCATTCCTAGAATACCATCTTCCAAAACTACAAGTAAACAACTTAACTAGTTATATTCCCACAAAGCTGGGCTCACATGCCAAATCTATTCAATCATACTAAGTATCATACATGGAACTGAACAATTGACAAAAATCAATGACATGAAAAAACACTTCTCAATAAACCCACTGACGGTAAGGACACAGTCATATGCGTGCTCAGAATCAAGTGATTCCCCTCTAATACTCACAAGAACAATCCTTTGACCTCCTAATTTATCCTCTAGATCCCTGAATACAGAAAGCATTGAATACTTTTGTATATTCCTACTATATTAACTAGATCCATTTCGCAATTAATACTTCTACTAAGCATTAGGACATTTGACATTAGTGCATATCAAATGAGAAGGGTTTTATTACGATAGAATGAATATTAGTCATATGAGCCTAAGATTATATTATAGTGATGTGACTTTTTTAAGTTATCGTGGATTATCAAATAACTTTTAGTCATAACCATCCATTCAGGTGCATTGTATCATTCATATTTATTCCTCTAAAACCACTAGGTCTGCCTAGTGCTGAGAGTTAGAATAATATAAACAAAGTCTTATATTTGAATGTTGTGATTGTAATTCCAGCTTATAAAAACAAATTTACACCTCGTCCTGTTAAAAAAACGCTCCTCTCACTCGATACATCAACTTGAATACATGTATATACAAAGGTGGTGATCAACCATGCAATAGAGTCATGTTTTTCTTTACCATTGAAACAATTGATCGAACAGGTGGCATGCAAAACAACGGGGACACCCATAATTGTGCAAAACTTAAAATTTGGACAGAACAAAGATTACCCAGAAACAAAAATGAAGTGAAAGTTGATGGGTGATGAAAAAGTTGCAACCTTGGTGCACTTTCCCTGGGAGTGGTACAAGCACGTGGGTTTCCAGCGAGAGTGAGGCTCGAGTGACGAAGTGGAAAGGGACGCAGAGAGTGAGCAAGAGTGTGTTGTATGAAGAGAGAGGTGGTTGGGGTGGTGCAGGGTAAGAGGTGAGAGGGAGAGAAACATTGGATTACAATGTGACAAAATCTTCGCCAAACATGCTCTCGGAAGCGCCATTACACTCTTCAGTCACTGGATTTGGATAGTTCTTGGTGGTTTGAAGCTGTACATATATCGATATTAATCGTTCAAGTATACCAACGTACAATTTTACTCTTCATAAGTTTTAATTAAGTTTGAGAAATTTTAGTCTTTAAAAAATTATAATCGTGTAATTTTAGTCTCTTAATTTTTAATTAAATAATTTTAATCTTTTAAATATTATAATTATACGATTTTAATATTTTTTTATTAAAAATTTAATAATTTTAAAATTTTAATATATATATATATAATATTTTAAAATTATACAATTGTTTGTTTATTTAAGTTAAC